ATTCCTGCTTTAGATAATGAGCCACACTTAAGCCCCAGCTTTTGGGAATGCTGATTAGCTGTGGGTGTCACTGTGATGCTCCAGAGCAATTCAAAATAGGACAACTTCCAATTTTGCAGCGGTTGTTGGGCGATTTCCGCATCCAGAGATGGGAAACTGTTGTATCGGGAGCCTGAAGCTATTTTTTATGTACCTGAAGAGAATGCAGGCATAGCAGGCTTTTTTATGGGCTTTAAGGAAAAGGAGCAAGAGCCAGAAATTCCTGATTTCTGGTCCTAGCTCTGAGTCATAGTTTGGCCTTGAGTAAATCAAATAAGCTCTTTGTCTGCATTTTACAGATAAGGAGACCAAGGCAATGTAAGTCCTTCCCAACAGAAGTGTCTGGGGGAAGTGAGATTTGTGATGGCCTGTAGTACTGATTAATTAGTTCTGGTAAAGTGTTTTGAAGATGTCAAGCAGATTTTTTCTTCTTTATTGCTGTAGAAGGAAAGCAAACTGGCAGTTGCAAAAGCACACATGATGTGGTTTGCTTTGCGGTGATAGCAGAGCCTTCCTCCTTTTTTATTTTTTTTTCTTTTTCTTGTTAGTGTCTTTACTAGAGTCTTTTTGTTTGCCTTTAACTGCTGGAGTCCAGATCAAGTCCATTGAATTGGAGATTATGCCAGAGTAAAACTGGGTGTAGTGGAGGGTGTCCAGGCTCAGATGGGTTTGGATGTTGGCACAAAAGGATGAATACAGCAGCAAGTGCCCTCCTGGGACTATGTCACCATTGACACTTACCTTCGTGGTCCCCATCTTTACCTCATCCATGGTTGGGGTGCTTTCTAGTCATGTAAGGACAGTAAGATTTGCACTTTTATATGAGCTATTCATGGATACTTACATTGTAAGATCACCGCCAAATGGGTGCCAAGCTCTGTGAGCACTCATCATTTAACTTTTCCATATGAGAGGCAGATTAAAGAAAACTTACATCAGCTATGGGTTTCTAGGCACATTTTGGCATTGACCAAGCATTTGGATCTCATTGGACATTGACCATTGACCAGACAAAATTATATGAAGCGTAGCCAAAAGTGACCACGCTGACTGAGTCAGGGAGGTGGCTCTCTGCTGCCACGGCACCATACGCCACACTCTTCATAGCTCTTTCCCCCAGAAATTTGGCATGGCCTCAGAGGGATGTACTCAGTCATCTCAGTTGTCCTCAGTCTCCATCATGGTGCTCAGGGACTGGGGACAAGGTTTCACTCCAGCTGGGGAAATATCAGAAACTTTATTTGGCTGGTGCGTGATTTAATTGAAGTGACGCGGCTTTTGCTGAGTGCAGTAGGGTGAAATGAGCAGGAAGGGAGGGCTGGGAGAGAAGGAGAGGGTGGAGCTGGACAACTCTGCAGCAAGGCATGCCTGAAACTGCCGACCTGCTTTCATCGAAGTCATCCAGAGCTGTTGCCTCAGCTTTTCCCACCGCGATCAGACTATCTGCATGTCCTTTTGGTTTTATCCAGGTGTTTGCTTTTCTGTTTATGGGTTACATTAAGCCAGGCTGGTCTTGGGAAACCATTTAGGAAGGATTGCCCAAGGCAGCTGGTCTGGTGGGTGCTCCCTTCCAGTTGTCATCTGTCTCCTCTTCATCCAAACCAGGGGTGCTGGCTCCCTGTTGTTCTCTGATGGTGTTGCCTTCCCCTGCCTGCTCTGCGTGCGGGCTGTCGCTGCTGCTGGGTGGCTTGTTGCTGTGGCAGCGAGGTGGGCTGTCAGGTGTGGTTTCGTTTGCAGCTATTTTTAGCGTCAAAGCAGACTTTGTCCAGTGGCCTGCTCTCATCTAAAAAAAAAGCTGCAAGTAAACATGAGCTGTGATGGGTATTTTTTGCCCCCGGTTCAGACTCTCTCCTCCTCCTCACAGCGATGGCCATCCTGCAGGTCTGGGTGGGGTGAGGCCCTGTTTTCATGCGGGATCTGGCTGGGATCCCTGCCTCCTCCCTCCCAGCCTGCTCCTGGCTCAGCATCCTGGCTGGGACCTCCCAGGGAGGACAGCCATGGTGTCATTCAACAGAGATAACAGGAAGGAAACAAACACTAAATTTAAAAAGATAAGGAAGGCAGAGGGTTTTACTGAACACTCAATTGCCCATCTATCTGTGATGAGACTCAGGGAGGTTACAACCTGAGATAACTGACCCGCACTGCTGTGCGCCCTTGCGTAGTCACTCAGATATTCGTTGTCTGTCCTGCTGCTGCCTGCAGCTTCTGCCAGCAAACCTGGAGTGTAAAACAAACAAAACAAGGATTAAATCATACATAATATTATATTCTAAATGATAGCCTTGGGATTGTAGAAAGTAGACATGGGATGAGACCCTAAGAGGTGGGACCCTATACTGTGTCAGTGTTTTCTTTCTGGACCAGGACTTTGGCAAACCAAGCACCCAGATGTATCATATGGGTACTGAGAGACCCCGCTGAGACCCTGCAGTGCAGAGGTTTCAGACATCGCACAGTCCTCACCTTGGCCCTAGATGTGAGCAGGATGCAAGTCTGAACATGGGGCTGATGGCCAGGGATGGCTCTAATCGCCAGCTGTGGGACCTGCCCCATGTTTAGGTGTGTGCATGGCTGTGCGGGTGGAAATCCCTGCTCTGGGGTCCCTTGTGAGGGATTTGAGTTCCCAGCAGTGGTAAATGCTAAATACTCCTTTGTGTAAAAAGCTACTTACAACTTACCCATAGTGGGTCATGTGTCAGCAGAGGTCTTTAATTGTTCTCGGGTTTTATCTTTGAAGATAAGAGTGAGTTAGTGTCAGCCCAACTCCTTTTTAAACACATTTTCTTCTTAACCCTTCTCGTCCCTCTCCCCTGCACACACTGATTTCCCACGCTGCAGGAGCTGCTCTGCTGAGCTCTTCTGGCCACGCGGTGAGCACCAAAGCTGCCTCCTGTTTTATACGGAAAAAGAAGTTTTCCTGGTAGCCTGCCAAGGCATTTCTCTGCCTTAGGGTGCCACTCCTACCTTTCTGCTCCAGCGGCGCTCTGGAAAGCAAAAGTGCTGTTTGCTCATCAGCTTGCAAGGAGAGTGGGAGGATGCATGGCTGGTGTTAGTTACTAATGCACCTCGTGGTGTGCAGTTGCCAGGTGCCCGGTGACCTGCAGTGGGTGCAGGGTGGCACGTACTGCCAAGAAAACTGGATGACAGAGTGAAAATACATATTGAAAAAGAGGGGAAAAGTAGCTGTTGGCAGTGACACTCCTGCGTGGTGCCCTTTGATGCCCTGGGAAGGGTGGCTCTGGCCCTCCTGCCAAAACATGCCCTACGCATCACTGCGGGTTGCATCCTGCACTGCGGGATTCCAGTGTGAAAACCACTTTATGGGTGCTGAAACTCCAGAGCTGCATGGCCCAGTGCTTGGTGTCTCCACTCAGACCTTACGTGGAGAGATATGTTTGGTCCTGGTGAGATCTCTGGAAACTTCAGCTGCTCAAAGCCCCAGGGAGGGAACCAAAACCATGGGCTCCACTGTAGAGTTTTGTAGGTAAACAGCCAGAAATCAAAATGTCCAAAACATGAAGCCTTGTGGAAGTATTTCATCCCTCTGAACAAAGATTTGGAGACCAGCCTGGTAGAGCTGGGAGCTTCTGCAGCTCTTTGCTGCTATTGCAGTTCCTCCCAGCTGACCACTCCTCTGTTCCTCCTGCAGTTACAAGCTGTTCCCCAGCTGTGTCCCGTCCTTTGGCTTCCGCCACCTCTTGTCCCTAACGGATAAAGTCGACCGTTTCAACGAAGAAGTTCAAAAACAGAAGGTTTCCCGCAACAGAGATGCTCCAGAGGGTGGTTTTGATGCAATTTTGCAGGCTGCCGTCTGCAAGGTGAGTTGCTTTGGCTTCTGGGGTTTTAAGGCAAAAAAGAGAAGGAGGTTTCTTCTGCTTTGTTCTTGGACCAAGGTAAGGATTTCTTGGAAGTAGCTACTAAATTTTTATTGCAAAAACCATGAAAGATGCCTTGAAAAGTAGAGGCAATTGTTTTCATGTGCTTTTGTACATGAACAGGCAAAGAAAAAAGGTTAATATCTTTTCTAGTTTAAAGGGGTAAAAATGGACCTTCTGCAAATGCAAATTCAGGGCTGAGATTTCATCACACGATTAGACTTGTAGGTGCTGATCCCTGAGCACCTGGGACGAGCTCCTTTAAGATTCATGTATGCTTGTGTGCAGCAGCATTGTGCGTCGTCTTAACGCGTTTCTTAACAACACATCTTGCAGTGGTTGACCCGTGTTAGGAGTTGGAGCTGGTTCCTATTGCTCGTACCTGCCCCCTTTGTGTCTGGGGCTGGATGATCCCACCTCCGGGCGCTGATAGCCTACTCTCCCTCTTTGTCAGCAAAACTGGAGCTGTGAGCAGTAATTAAAGATGGATTTCATCAGCTTGGTGCCATGTTACCCATGTCCGTAGGGGTTTTGAAGATGTTTGCTCGAAGATCTTTCTGGAACAAGTAGGTGGGTTGCTCCATATCCCTTTGCGTGTCAGGGATGGAAGTGCTTGCTCCTCTCTGCCGTGTGGCTGAGCTGCCCTGCTCGCCAGGGATGGCTCCGTTTGCTTTTTCCCCTCTTGACATACAGTTTGGGTTTTGTTCACTCCAGCCTTCCATAGTCCTTTTTGGCTGGGCATGTGTTCTTCTGGGTCTGGATTTTGGAAGTCAGGAGATAGGCATCGTCTGTGGGAGGGATGGGACATAGGCTTGTGGGAAACCAGATCTTCCCTCGCCTGGGTTGGCTTCATTTACGCTTCATGCTCTTGGCAGGACTGAGCCTGCCCCGTTGGATCTGATGCCACCCAACAGTCATCTTTCTTCTCCCAGCCTGGCACAGATATTGTTATTGGCACAACTACAGTGCTGGTCTGGGCGTAAAGTGCGTCTCAGTTTTGGAGAGGTGGCTATCATGGTTAGAGCAGAGACATCTCAGGATAGTGATGCAGTTGTGCCGCCCACCATGTGGTTTTTTTCAGTCCCTTCCACCATGTTACTGCAAAAGTGGAACGACATTTCCCTACGGTGCAGAAATACTGCGGTGTGTATCACCAGGGCTCGATTTGGAAGTGTTGCTGGAAGGCAGGAGACAGGCAAGATACTTTCTGTATGTTTGTGCTAGTCTCAAACTGTTGGTAACGTCCAAAATCTTTCACTGTGCTTCTTGAATGCACAGCCTGGTCCCTTCTAAGTTCAGAAAATGAATGTAGATGCTGATGTCATCTAAATTCAGGACTGAGCATCCTCTAGGAAGGGTGAGCAGAGGTGAGTGTGTGCACTTGTGTGGCTCTTGGTGTGATGTGGCAGGTCATGACAGAAGAATGTCTGCAGCCACAGTGGTTAATTAATTACTGGAGCTAATTTCTGGTGGGAAGGAAAGTCCATGGGACTGGTGTGCAAGGCAGGAGAACCAGCTGTGCCATAACTCGCACTGCCTTGGCAGCCCCTTGCTGTGGGTGGAGCAGCTGCCTGCTGATCACAGACATGAGCAGCAACGGCTCCATCCATGCAGAGGTAGAATAGACAAAATTTCGGGCCAGCTGATTGACCTCGTTAAGCCCCGTAGCCAAAATGGGGCCTTAGTGATTAATTTCCCTCACAGCAGCCGAGTGATGGCCCAGATTGATCAGTGGCTGTGGGTTGTGGTGGGGCTCACCACCGTCAAGGTGGGTGAAGGTGGCAGACAACTGGGCTGGCAGTGAAGCGCTGATTCCTGATGAGGATGCTCTTTGCTGCAATGAATGGCGCTTTGCGTTCAGTGGTGATTAATGAAGTATTGTGAGGACTAAACCCTGCACAGACAGTAGTTTCTAGTAACTCAGGATCTATTTTACCCCAGTGCAGGGAGCCAGCATACAGATACCTTGGTGCCTTCTGAGGGGGGTTTCCTCATCACTACTGTGGTACCCTATTGCGTCTCTCTGGCATGCTCCAGCTTTTTCCAGCTTTCACTCTCTTTACCATATTAAAACCCCCAAATTTAGGGCAGTTATGACCTTAGAAAGTCCCCTATCTTTAGGGTCATGCAGCATGTTGACCATGAAGTACTTTGTGCTCAGCAGCAGTTTGTGCCATCAAGGGACATGTCCCAGAGAGAGCTGGGCATGGCATGGCAGAGCCTCGCTGTTTCCAAGCCATGGTGTCTGAGTGCGGTCTTCTCCTCCCCTTCAAGCTCTGAGGTATCAGAAACAATACCTACTCTGTTGACTAGGTATTTTTACACTGTAATTAATATCGAGCATTTCTTCTGCATGAGCTGTCTAAGAGCTCTGTAATGCTCAAGTCATTTTTTTGGCCTGGTTTGCAACCCAAGGAGTGGGGAAAGTTTGTACAGCTAATACAGACTAATGAGCAGGCCCAGGGTTTGGCTCCTTTCTGCAAGATGAAGATATGGTAAATGTTATTCTGGAGGCAATGAAAGAGCCAGAGACAATAAGCCTTTATCCTGATGCTAAAATGTTAAGCCAGGAATATTAATCAACCTTCTGTAATTACATTTTCCATTTGCAGTATTTTGGTTTTCTGCCATTCTTTAAGTACAAGCATCATATAGCTTGGTGGTATGTATAAGTTTCAGATCTCATACACTAAGATGCAGCAAGCAGATAATGCTGGATTAGAAAATAAAGTGTCTTTTGAGATAGTTTTGATTGGTGCTTGCTAGACACTGGTACATGGAGATAGCCAAGACATCTGGGAGACACTGAGATGCCTTTCAGAGCTACGCAAAATGAAGGAGGTTTTGACTTTTAATCTCTAAGGCATACTTGTCTTGCACCTGTATCTGTTTCTTTCTTCCAAAACGACTGCACCTGAGAAACTGGCAGGGTTTTAGACATATTGATGAATCCAAGTGGGGTCTCCTGGCAGTTTGTGCCTTGGCAATTAAACCCTTTTTATTCAGCGCCCAAAGCATAAATTTAGATATTTCAGGCTTGGAAATACTGATGCCAGGTTTTGCAGCCTTTCCAGTAAGATTTGGAGGGCTGTGCTGTGCTGAGACAGCTGTGGCAGTTTCGCCAGTCGCTGTTGGCTGTAAGGAGTGAGAAGCTGGTCTTTCAGGGTATGGGAAGCAACTGCAGCTGGTCGTAGGAGTAGGGGCAGGCTCCGTAGCGTGCCCAGCCCTGTGGAGACATGCCTTCCCACTTCACTCTGCTTTGGGTCAGGTCCCACCCCTGCTTTCAAAATCCTTTCTATCCCATGGGGATCAAAAACCAGATGAGGGGGCAGACTTCAGTGCAGGATTTTTTGTTCAACAATCCCAGTCCAGTAAAAATAAATGAAAGTCTCTTTGGTTATTTGTTTTAAGCGGAGCAGAGTGCTGCTCTGGGTTTCACGGTGGAAATTGCGTGCTGAAGAGCTGTATTTTCCAGCGCCTGGAAGCCGCTGGCAGAGGCAGCGTGAGATGCGTCGGCTCCTCGTCGTGCCGCCCTCCCCGGGTGCTTTTTCCATAGGTCTCCAGCTCTTTTGGTGCAGCATTGGCACCAGCTCAGCCACCCCACCTGAGACACCCTGGTCCGATGCTCTAAGGCATCAAATGCCTGGATACTGGCACCGACACTGTGGGTGTTTGTTGCTTTTTGGAAACGAGTTCCTGAACAGAGCGACCAAAGCGTTTCTGATGTTGTTTACGTGGGAAAGTGTATGTCGGAGACATGGTGAGTTTGTCTGTAGAGGGATGCTTACCCTGTGATTTAAAGGTGGGCTTAGCAGGCAGGTGAAAAGAAGCATCGTCCCTGAAGTTGCTTTGTAGCTGCTGCTTGAATGCAGCTCGTTTTCTTTGTGCATACCACATTTCTAAGGAAATGAAACTCTAATTAATCCTTTTAATCTCTTTGGGAATTTTGTGGCCTCAATTGTTTAAAAAGAAAAGAAATCAGCTTTGGATATGCAAAGGAAAGTGAACTGGATGGGCTTCTGTCTGGTGGCTGAGCAGACCGACAACTGCTTCTCGCATTTTTAGAGTTGTAGTCTTTTGTAGTCAACTTTTAGGTTGAGCTCTTAAGAAATTACATTTTGGCCTGAAGATTGCGCCTTTTGTCCGGTGGGGCCATTTCAGTGGAATAACTCCTGCTTCCCAGAGCAAAAAAGTCCTCGTTGTGTACTGAGCTGGACTGTAACATGCTGGTACATGGCAAAGGGTGTGTGTTGCCAAACGTTTCTTCCTATGGCCTTATTTGCATTGTGAGGGTCTTTACAATACCATTAAAGAAAAAAATACCTTCTGCAATAGGGAGGAAAAAGAAATCTACTCTGAAATAGTGTCTGTGAAGCAAGAGTTGTATTTGTTGGAAAGATCAATAGGCTTTGGGCTATGACTCACATTTGCAGGCGAACATTGCGCTGACAGCTGTGACTCTGCATCCTTCTGCCTGCTCTGCCCTCTTGCCCTGTCCATGCCAGTGCTTTTCCTAGGAAGTGTCTTTACAGCCGGGCTGCGGCAGTTCATAGGTTAGCATCTTACCATAAACCAAGGCAGATGTCAGATTTTGCTAAATAAGCTGAGCAGTAAGCTCTGGAGATTTTGGGTGTACTCATCTCCACTGCGTTCCCGTCAGTAAGCTTTTACCAGCTTTTCCCTCATCCCTTCCCAAGGGATTTGTGCTGTGTTGCTCTGAGCCAGGGGGCTGGAGGGAGGGGGATGCTGGATGTGTGTGGGGAGGGAAGGTGTGAGGCTGCGTCTTTGCCACCAGACGGGCAGAGTGGCCAGCCCAAGGGGAAGCTCTGAGAGATGGGGCTTTCTGGCTCTGGTCTCTGCTGTGGCAGGATGTCCCTGCCATGGTTGGCAGGCAGGACTTCAGCCTGCCCGGCTTGGCATGAGCTGGCAGTGGGAGCAGCCAGCGAGTGCAGGGGAGTGTGCTGCAGTGCTATGGTTTCCAAAAAATTTCCTTTGGGCTTCTTTGTTTCCCTGTGCTTCCATTGCAGCAAACAGCTTCAGTGTGCTGTTGTAGGCACACATCTGCTTCTCGGGATGGTGCAAAGCCAGAAACCTGGGGAAGCTCCTTGGGAGGGAAACGCTCATCAACATTTATGTTATCCCTTTATGTGAAAAAAAAATAATTAAAAATCTATCCCTGCTTCTCTCTCCATGCAAAGATGATGACAATGTCTGGTCCTTGCACAGAGTGGCTGTGCATGCACATGGGTGCACCAAAGCCAGCGCCCTCGGGCAGGGACCTCACTGTGTGTCACAGCTCAGAAACAGCCTTTGCGAGCGGGCAGTAATGGAACTGCTGAGCAGGGATATTGCAGCTCTTGCTGTTGCCTTGGCCGCTCTGCAGAGCTGAGGAAACAAGGTCAGATTAAATGTGTGTGGAGGAATTTGGCAGGTCTCCTTTGGCTATAAAAGCTGTTGAAATTCTTATTCTTGGATCTGGGTAGAGAAGGTCTGGTGGACAGTCCACATACCTCCTCATGCCTTTTTAAGTAAGTGTGTTGGAAGGAGATGCTGGGAAATGCTAGATGGGCCCCTGACATTTCTTACCAGGGATGGGCGGACAGGAGCGTGGTACTCTTCAAGTTAGTGCTAGGGTCTGCTGCTGGACAGGCGTGTGGCTGAGACCATGTGCAGGGTGAGGGGCGAAGCGTGGGCTTGGCAGGGGCAGACCGGCTGTCTCACGGAATTTGTTTTCCCCCAGGAGAAGATCGGCTGGCGTAAGGAGGCGTCTCACCTGCTGGTCTTCACGACGGATGATGTGCCCCACATAGCCCTGGATGGGAAGCTGGGGGGGCTGGTGCAGCCCCATGACGGCCAGTGCCACCTGAATGAAGTCAATGAGTACAGCGCATCCAGCCAGCTGGTGAGGGGGAACATGGGGGACCTCAGGGTGTTGGTGGATCTTTCTGGAGACCAGCCACACCAGACTGCAGCAGCTTTTGGCAAGCACAGCCCCTGACCAGCATGGTTTCCCCCAGGCCTGCAGTTTGCAAATAAAATTTGCTGTTCCCCTTGGGTATCCCCCTGCAGCGAATGCTTCTGTGATGCTCAAAAATGGGTTAGGAGCGTAGTGAGTTCCTTCAGGGTTCTTTGCAAGGGAAAGAAAAGTAACTTGGTGTCCTGGAGTGCATCGGATTTGCCTGCAAAGTATAAAGATAAAATATGTCATCCTTTTTCTAAAATGTCCAGTGGACTGTCAGCTTCTCCCAGGGGAGGCTGAGTCTACCTTGATGTGGCTACGCTACCAAGCACAGCAGGGCGCTCCTCTTATTCACAGCCTTTGAGCACAACACTAACGTAGTTCTTAGTCAGAAACAAACTGGCCCTTTTTTTTTAATATAAACTCAGTGGAGGAAGCTCCTGGGGTGAAGGAGCACTTGCCTGGCACCTCGTTATCACATCCTTCTGCAGAAGGGTGCTTTGTTCAGCAGATCACAAACACTACTTAGGATTTTTGTTACTGCAGGGATGTCACCTCGGAACAGGAGGTGTTTCTGGATGGAAGCTAGAATCCTTGGAGAAACTCTTTTTCCGCCTGCCTGTGCAATCCTAGCAAGCGTATGTGTACCGGAGTACAGCCCCTGTACTGAGGTGGAGTTATGCTGGGGAGCTGACGTGGGGATGCTGCCTTGGTATTTCCGTGTTTGAGACTTGGAGGCTCTCAATCGGCCCTCCGGTCTGCAAGTAAACGAGGTATTTTTTTCTGAGGACAGCACTTCAGAAGCAGCCAGGGGTTTTAAACTCAAGCTGATCTCTTGAAAGTGAGCCCTGGTTCATTATTTTGTTGCTTCTGGGTAGCTAGAGCAGTATCTTCCTACCATCCTCTCTGTCTAGGAAGTCTGCAGAATTAAAGAGCTTATTGTTATCGCTTTATGGTTCCAGTATGCAGAAAAAACAGGCAGTGGATGTTTCTGCTTTGGGAGAAAAATCATACGTCTCCACTTCCTGCAGCTCTAGATCTCCCTGCCTTGCATCCCTGGAGACAGCAGCCAGCTTGTTACACACGTGTCTGCTGATGGGAAAGCAGAAAGAGGGAAAGAAAGAAATCCAGTGTTTCAGGTGTTGCTGTAGCTAATGGTCTTGTCAGTCATATATTGTAGTGAAGGGTGTAGCAGAAATATTTAAGGGATGACAGAGTTTCTACTATTTGAGCTGGGATTGTGCTGGTACATAAGGGACTTCATCCCGCAGTGAAACATGCCACGTTTCTGGAATGAATTTTGCTGTTGGGAGGAGAAGAACAATGAAATTATTCTTTGTTTCTGTGTTATCCATCAGTCTTTTTGTGCCCCTAGGATTATCCTTCACTGGCACTTCTTGGGGAGAAACTCGCTGAAAACAACATCCACCTGATTTTCGCTGTTACAAAAAGTCATTATGTCCTGTACAAGGTAAGCGCTGCCGAGCCGCCTGGGCTGGGGGAGGTTTGAATGCCTCCTGAAAGCATCTTCCTGCCGGCACCGTGGGACGGAGGCA